ACAATAATGAACAATCTTCCTCCCCCAATTCTAAATGCTGTTTCTATAAAAACATTTTACAAGAAAATAAATACACCTAATGTCATGATTTGATGTGTACTGCTTTAACATGAAATTCAGTTTATTCTTTTAATTTATTTATTTATTTATTTATTTATTTATTAACTTATTCATTTATTTATCTATCTCCATAATATGTGATTATTTGATCGTTTCTCTTATTTTTTGTTGTTTTATCTTTGCTTTTTGTTTTATTTTTCCTTTTAATTTTCTTTATCTTGTTTGCTTTGGCATGCCCATCACAAGAACTTAATATTGTCGGGATCTGGCCATTATCCATGGCTTTTTTTTTCTTTTAAATCATATCTTATTGTATAATTTGTGTTTGTAATATGGAAGTAAATAAATGTCTTTTGAATGAATAAATGAATTATCAAACCTTCTGACTTAATATGAGGTATCCTCCTTCCTCAATTGAGTGAGTGTGTGAGTGCGAGTGAGTGTATATAGCTGTCTCTTATACACATCTAGATGTGTATAAGAGACAGAAATTAGGCTATATGAAAAGAAAAAAATATCGAGTATATATATGTATATATACTGTCTCTCATTTTAAATCGTCTGTGGACAATTTTTTATGATATATAAATTGTAAACGGTAAACAAATACAGTAAATAATAGGCATATGTTATTGTTATATAATAATATTATCATCATCATCAATAATAATAATTAGTACTATCATTTATTTATTTATTTAGTTCTATTATTATTTTTATTAATATTATTATATAAATGTAAATGACGTAATTATTTAATAATTATTATTTATTTATATTATTAATAATATTACATGTGTAAAATGACGCAAATATTGACCATCACAAGGCACTGCGCCACGTCTATGCGTCACAGCACCTGATTTGTTGAACATCTGATGACGTATTCTATCTTTTTTACCAGGGGTTGTATTATAAACATTGACATTTGTTGTCATCAAATAGTGAGTGAAGTAAAATAAATAAACCCTTGTGATTTGTTTGACTCTATTGGTACGCGTCATCGATTCGATTGTGTTATTGACAGTCTAACCGATTGTTCGGGGCCGTCTAAACGAGTTTTAACGGGTTTATCTTTGCTGAAACTGAAAAAAGCACGTGACCAAAATAGACCTGCTATTGTAATCTAAAAATAGCAAAAGGAAGTCATTACCTGCCGTCTATTTTTGCAGCCTCAGAGCTGACACTATGCCCAAAGTTCGTCAGTGACGACGGCGATTATAAATACGATTAGTGATGGAATGACGATGACGATGTTGATGATGTATGGTTATCAAAATAATGATTTAGGTAATAGAGTAATGATGAAGACAAGGCCAAAAAACTTGTTATATATAATTTAATCCCTGTCGCAGGAAATTACAAGATGTTATTTTTCTCAAAAAACATGATACAATTTCTTTTAAATTTATTTATTATTAGTAAAATGTATTATTTATACAGGAACACGATGCTTTAAATCATGACCAAATTTTGTAAACCTAAAAATAGTAACGAAGTTAGTACCTGTAATCTATTTTTTGCAGCCTCGGAGTATGTATTATACTATCTTATCTGAGATTCAATTTATTAGGAACTATATACTGTTTCAATCAGTGGCACAAAACAATACAGTGTACAGTAAAGTTCCCAAAAAAAGACTTGTGCTAAGAAAAAGACAAAAAAATTTAAAAGCAATCTAAAAACTTAAAGCAAAACAAAGTGATGCAAGCTAACACACACGAACAAATTATACAAACACCATACAAACGTACATGAAATACACATACAAGTACAACATATCCATACAAAACTGCATGCCCCTAGTCACATGACTGTACCGTACTCACAAATATAAACATAGATACATGCAGTACATACTTTATACACACATCAAGCCTGATAACACAGATGTACCGTACATAAAACTAAATCAAATAAAGCAATACAGGACTAAAGTAAAAAAATAACGTTTTTTGTTTTTGTTTGTTTGTTTTTGGTTTTTTAATTAATTAGTGGACTTTTCGGTTTTTTGAAAACCCAATTAATAAATAAATGCAAAAGAGCGTTCAAATATGAAAATGTTTTGTTGTGCTTAGCCCTTTGGCTATTTTTAGAGTTAAGTACACCCCAGTCTTTTGTGTTTCCTTCTTTAGAAAAGAATAAATAAAATCGGAAATTCCTTATTTTTTAGATGGCCTATTCAATTCTTGGAAACTTACTACCAGGTAAGCGAAAAAGTAATTTGACCAGAACTGCGTGTAAACATAAATAAATCCTTGCCGAGCCACGAGGCCCATAATGTGGGCTGGAGATTTTCTCCAGTATCAAGTAGAGTGAAGGCGATGAGAGGGTGATGCTTCCCGTGGGTGGGATCCCAGATTGGAGGAAATATACATATCCATATCCATGGTTATTCCAACCCACATGATACAACTGGGTAGGCTGAAGCAATTTAGATAAAGTACCTTTGCTCAAGGACACAAGCAGTGGCGGCGCTAGTGGGGATCCAAGGTGCAAAGGACCCCCCGTCAGGGACCTCTGGACCCCCGCTTGGAACCCCTGTAGGGGAATTATTATTCCCAGCAAGGTCATCGGGGAAAAATCAAATCTTGAGCGCCGAAAGTACAATTCAAGCATCGCTTAACTAAGCTGCCAACATTTTTGAGAATAAAAACTAGTGCGAGCAGTGCTACGGTATGTGCGAGATGTTGTTTACTATTGCGATCGTATTGGTTGCAGTGGTGCACCAGCTCTTCACCAACAGGGCACCTCGCCCGCAAGGGGGGACCAGTACCCCCGATATCCTTTTTAAATAAAGAATCCCATAAATAACACAACATTTTATTATCTTTTAATAAAAAGAAAATTCCCGACAAATTTGATCCCCCCCCCCGGAGTTTGCTAGGGTTCCCCGACGGGGCGGGGGGTGGAACGTTACCCCCTGTCGGGGAATTCCTGGCATCGCCCCTGGACACAAGCGATATGCACAAAGCGAAGGATTGAAACCCGACGCCAAGGTCGGGGAAACTAAACTATTTGCACTGCGCCATATCGCGTCCACAACATGTCAAAAATAGTATTTTATTTATGTTTCTCAATAATATTTGTGACATTCCATGCAATTTTACGTCAATGATGTAGGGATGAATTATGATATTTGGGAAAATTTATTTTTGGAACTTCATTAACAATAACCTATCTCATATTACAACTACTGTACATCCAATCAGCCCTTACTTGGTAAGATACCCAGCTTGTAATTGCGGTCAGTATAATAATGTAATTATAATAATGTACCGTAAGTATTCGGAAGTGGATTATTAAACTAAGTTTCAACTGTCCGGAAATTTGTTGACGCAAAAACACTTCCGTGTATTAATTTATTTTTTCCTTGTGATCAAAAGTTATGTATATAGTGATATCTTATCGTTTTTTATGAAACAATGACGTCTCGGTTGTGCAGATGATGCGTCCACTCCAACGCGAGTCGGTGTGCGAGCGGCGGCTTAGGAGTTTCGCCTTTATCTGAATCTCAACATACAACTAAATATTATTATCTTAATATTATTTCATTATAACAACAACAGCAAAAGAAGACAACAATAATTATAAACAAAATTAATATAGATAAATGTTAGAAGCAATGCTCAAAATAAACAAATTTTATGATTTATCGAGAAGTTTCCAAGGATAAGTTACTTGTGATTGTATGAAGAATTGGAATTGGACCTCTTGCTGCCAAGGCGAGTGTCATTCCGTTAGACCACGGAAGCCTGTTGGAATATCAAAGATTCAATCCAGCCAGATCACAACTGATTTGATAACGAAGCTGGTTTAGGCAAGAGAGAACTCTGCAAAATCGCAGCAGAAATTATAATACATAAATGACAATATTGGTCTATTGGAACATATAAAGAAATATATAAATGATAATAATGTATATATATATATATATATATATATAATGTATATATATATATATATGTATATATATATAATGTGGGGTAGGTCCTGTCTCTTATACACATCTAGATGTGTATAAGAGACAGATTATAATGTGATAGTTATATAATTACTGGTACTCACATTTCTTTTAAAAACATATCTTATTTTTACATAAATATTAATAATATTCAAAAATACATAGGCCTATAACTGTAAATGTAATACAGTATTATATCTGTCTCTTATACACATCTAGATGTGTATAAGAGACAGTATATATACTGTATATATAATATATATTGTATATGTTATAATATATTAGGCCTATATATATTATATATATATATTATATATAGGCCTATATATATATATATATATATATATATATATATTGAGACCCCTCTAATTCGAGACTTCTTTTTCAAAAACAAATTAACAATCGTCAATGTTTTAACATATTATTATTATATATATACAGTATATATATATATATATATATGTTATATTTATACATATATATTATATACATATATATACTGTATATGTTATATATAATATATATACATATATATTATATATATATATATATATATTGAGAGCCCTCTAATTCGAGACTTCTTTTTCAAAAACAAATTAAACAATCGTCAATGTTTTAACATAAAGCCAACCCTCTAATCGGATCACCCCAAAACTTCAGGCCCCAAAGGCGGTCTGAAACTGGAGGGAAAACTGTAACTAAATAATAATAACAGTGCTCAGATAGGAACATAAAAGTTATCCTCTCTGAGCACTGCTTTTGTTTGTGGTGTAAATTAAGATGGTTGTCGTATTCTACACATCGTAAGTTAATTGCATGTAGTCCTACGTACTCATGTACGGACATTCTATGCTCATTGTCAGGAAGGCACAAATCAATCATGTCTAGAATTAGGCTTCATCTCTATTGTGTTTACATGTACCCGGGCAACCTGGATGACGTCACAATAGACAGGTGATTTGTATAATAGCGATTATTCATTGTTTAATCTTCGATCCGCCATGTTGTTCAATGTAGACAAGGTCGTGATCACAGCGGGCTTAAGTTAAATTTTCACACAACAATTTGTCTCTCAAATTAATTTACACAATCACAGGAATCAGCAGTCAACATGGATATGCTTTTGTTGTTGAGGTTTTAATTGCAGCACGTCGAACAGTTATAGGAACCATTTAGATGTTTTTACTTTGTCTTTTGAACGAATATGGAAACCAATTTGACTTGGCCTGCGCCTCCTACGAAAAGTGATCCTCCCGTGGGACGTTACCATTTGGGCGTCCGCCAGTAGAGGCGTACAACGTACTGTATTCTTAACGCGTCCTTGACGTAGTCTTACGTATATGCAACGAGTTTAGCACTTGGGTGACAGTTACTGTTGTGAGGTTATGTGATACCTGTGTGTGACAGGCGTTTGTGGGACGTTTCCGTATGTAGGACATCCGTTGGGACGTTTGAATAATTTCTGTACACAATGGCCGTATCAATATTTGGAATTTCAGCTCTGTTAATTTTCTTCCTCGACGTTATCGGTAACGCCGTGGTCTTTTTCACGTTCATGCGAACTCCGAATCTATCAACAATAACATTCAAATATCTGGTTTTTAATGTTGCAATTGCTAATGTGTTAGCCGGGGTTATTTGCATTTTCCCCGATGCAATTTACTCCCTCTCCACGGACAGCAGTGCCTGGACCTGGGGCGACGGATTCTGTACAACCACTGCCTTCATCTATGCGTTTTGCACGTACCTTTGCCTGCATACCATTACGGCAATTTTTATCGAGCGCTATGCACGAATTTGCTATCCTGTTTACTACGATATGATCTTTGGGAAGAGTGTGACAATTATCTGCATTGTGGGGCTTTGGTTCTATTCATTTGTTCTAGCCTTATTACCTATCATTACGTGGGGAGAGTACGGTTTTTCGGCAGCGGAGCATCGATGCAGCCCCACCGTGCAAGGCTGGCAAACTCATCCCAGTCACTTAACATTCACAATTGTAATGGGAATATGCTTCCCATTTCTACTTTCATGTGTGTTTATTGTTCTAAGTATCCTTCACATACGTAAAGTTCGAAAGACGAAGGGAACAAAAAGCGAAGGCGTCGAGTCTTACGGCGACAAGTTCAGACGTGCACAAAACAAAATCAAACGTGATATAAGGGATACATCGACTTTACTCGAAAAGAAAAAAAAGAAGCCGAAGAAGAAAAAGAGAAAGAAAGAAGACAATATAGACTCTCCATTGGAGTCAGATCAATCTGCTTCTTCTTCGTCGTCGTCGTCGTCCTCCTCCTCCTCCTCCTCGTCATCCTCGTCGTCAGAAGACGAGAATGTACCGTCAGGGCATCAGAAGTACAAACTTGCACGCCGGATCAATCGCAAGCAACGGTACAGACCAATCGAAGTAGCCTGGCTGAAAACCTTCTCCGCTACAATATTACTATTCATGATATATTGTCTGCCCTACATTATTGTCAAATATAATATTGTGTACCAGAAAGGCACTATCTCTGATAACGTCCTCACGGGGGTTGTTGTTATTGCCTTCATCATCCATGCGATTAATCCGATTGTGTATCTGTGTAGTGGCAACAAATATTATGTAAAAGCGTTTGTGAATACAATTAAACGCAAAAAATAATTTGTTTTAAAATATTATGACATAACTTTTAAGTATCGTTAATCAATGTATGAATGTATGAGGGCGCTGTTTACCGAATGGAAACCATTATGTAAAAACAAATAAGTCTATGTTCAAATTATTTATTTAAAAGCAACAACAATTTTTAATTCGTAAGCTATGTTACCGGACTGTAGAGTAGGTTCAGCAGACTGTGGATGAGCCACAGATTACAAAGTCCCCAGCTGAGGCCCACGGTCTCTGACGAGAAGTTGAAAATCCTCCAGC